AAATAATAGGTTCACCAAATAGGCATCTAAAGTCTCCAGTTTCTATTAGATGTGTTTTCTAGTCTAAAGTGAATTGGAATAACCATACCTTAATTGATTTATCAAAAGTAGGATTTTTATTGCACTTTAATTAAAGCCTAAGCTTTCGTATGATTACGGTCATCACCATAAGTCAGTTGTGACTCTGCAGTGGTAACTATTGCATCACTAACTTTTTTTGTTGTGTTTGCAAGTTAACCAAGAGTTCAAGCACTCTTCAACTGTCAGTGAATTCTGCTCAAAGTTACTTTAATCTTGGACAATTAATTGAAACTGTTACAGAAAAGTTAGATTAATTGCTTTTTAATAAAGTGTAAGAGTTGAGATTGGCCTTTTTATCTTGCTATATCAGATGTAACTCATATGCACTTGCTGATTAGATCATTTGCATTTGTGCTGATAATCTCATATTTAGTCAAGAACCAATCACTTATCTAGATAATACTTACATGATTATGATAGAACAGATTTAGAAAAAGATAAGATTGATATTTTATTTTATTTTTATAACTTTTTATTGTTTTTATACTACAAACTACAAAGGGTAAGGGAAAGGGGAAATCTGGCCTAAAATACAAAGCTAGGCAAGGATCATATTATATTGGTTGTGCATAAGTTGTACCCAGGTCTTGATACTTTCCCCACATTTAAGATTTAAGGACGGAAAGTTAATAATTAGTACTTCAAGCTCAAACTAGCACAAGTATGGTTAACCAGAGTAAGTGCATCCTAGTTCTTTATATATTAGAAAAAAGAAATCAGACTTTCAGTATTAAGCTATTCATCATATTTTTTCTTCCTGTGTTTGTTTTTATCGTAAGTCAGTCTAACATTAAGAAGTTTAGGAGCTCCCCCTCCTTTATCAGATTCTGAAACTTCTGAGGGACTGCCCGAAATATTTTCACTGCTTCCCGATCTATGTTCGATGCTTCCTTCTGTTGCGTTATTATCCTCTGCTTTCCCTCTTCCTTCCGCTGTTGTTTGATGCTTTTCCAAAAATGTATTTGCTTTTTTAACAGAGTCAATCTCTGGTTGAGATTTGATTTCGTGATTAATAATAAAACTTCACTAAAGTCATATAGCAAAACTATAAGTGTCTGTATTACATGGGCTTTCTAATGCTGCATGTTCATGTTTTTCTAAGAACATTGTTTGAGCAAAATATGACAGCCTTCTGTGCAAGAATCACGTCAATGTTTTTTTAAAAATATGGGAATAAGTCACTGAATAATATATATTTTTGTAGCCTTTCAAATATGTCTATTCAAATGGGGCTTGTGGTAATTATTTAATAAACTGTTGTTTAATGTTTTAACCCTATATAACTATATTCGTACACCACTGTCTTCTATTCTTTGTAATTTAGATTTCACGAATAATTCGTACAGCATGTGGAAATGCTTTGCTTGTAGGAGTTGGTGGATCTGGAAAACAGAGTCTTTCGAGGCTGGCCTCTTTTATAGCTGGATACAAAATATTTCAGATAACTTTAACTAGGTGAGAATAATAAATTTGAACAAGTTTTTATCATTGTTCTCTCTGCAAAGCTAAAAGCTGATGCTATATATGAAGACCCAACATCATATTTCCATTTTGCAAATCGGATTAATGACAGACCTAGCCCAGTTATCAATAGGAAGATGGCACATGCCACGATACATTTTAATCCTTTAAAGTAGGAACCTTCTTCTTGTTAATTGAATCTCACTTTTAAGCACTTTTTTGCTCCCTGCTGATTGAAGCATGGCGTTTTATTCTTCAGCTGTTCAACTAACAGTGATGTCATCCCTCAAATCAAAGAGCCTTCTTCCAGTACCAGGGCTCTTCCACAGCAGAAGAACCTCTTGCAGCAGAGGAAGCCTTCTTGCATTGAAAGAGCATGTCACTATTAGCTGAGAAAAGAATTTTGGCTCATGAGTACAAGCCAAAATTTGGCACAAACTTGGGCTGGTTCGAAACCCCTGAATCAATGTTCAGGGAAGGTTCTTTCCCCAAACACTTACTGGACCTTTGTCCAGTTCATTTTGGCTGTTTTGGACCATTTAAACCTAATATCTGAGGAGCGCACTCACCCTGCGGTTATGTTGAAATGGCCATGAGCCATTTCACCAATTGGTTTCACTCCCCTCTGCTTCATAGCAGAGGGAGGCAAAATGGATGGGTTAAATTGCTGCCAGTCATTTAACTCCTTCTGGGCTATTCCCCCCCCCTTTCTCCCAGCTGCAGAGAAAGGGGGAACTGAACTCGCCGGACTGGCTCAGTTTAGGTGGGGGCCTTTTGGCTCAGTTCAGGGAATGCCCAGAACCCAGAACCGAACCAGATTTTTTAGGCTCATGCCCATCCCTACTCATGAGCTGGTTCATGCTCATCCCTAATATCAGATTCCCCCCTTTTAGAAGGGTAAGTCCAGCTGGCCCAAGTGTGGCTAAGGAGTATATGGGTTCATATTAGCGCTCCTTATAGTCTAGCTACCTGAAGAGTAATGTACCGCAGGCCTGGCTATTGTCTTTAATGATGCTGTTTCTGTTTGTGTGCTCCTTTTAAATTATACCTACACTTCTGTTCAGTTTCCAGCTAATCAGCATGGTACAAAAGAGCAGTTCATGCTGAATTAGATGCTAATTTATTTTTCCCATTGACTTCACTGTCATAGTTTATCTTATATAGCTATTATGTGGATATTGTTAAAATTGTTTTTTCCCCTCCTCCCAGATCTTACAATGTGTCCAATCTCACAGATGATCTAAAGCTTTTATATAGAGTTGCTGGTGGTGAAGGAAAAGGAATCACATTCATTTTCACAGATAATGAAATAAAAGACGAGGCATTTCTTGAATATCTTAATAATCTGCTTTCTTCTGGAGAGGTTAGGGTTTCATATCAATGCACTTGATATTGTATTTATTTTATTGTTATAATTATTGGATTTTTAGCCTGTTGCATCCCAAAGGCCTAGGACAAGTTACAGTACAGATGTACATCCAAAGAATACATGTATAATTTGAGGAGAATTTCCAATAGAAATACTTAGGTATTCTTCATCAATGATTTTTGCATAAATGTATTGGAAGGACAAATTTTGGCCACTGATGATCAGAATATTGGCATATTATAAAGCAGTGTGGTTTTGCAGGATTTATGTGGGACGTATAAAAGTATCAGCTCTGATCTTCATTGGATCAGAAATTGTGTGGAAGTTCAGCTCTCTCCCCTTGTGACTCAAGAGCTGCCCTTTGCACACACTCTTTTTTCCAGAAAAGAAAGCTTTTGAATGGGTATTTTAGAGGATTGGGCTCCTCATTCACTCAAGGGGAGGAAGCAAGAAAACCTTTATAGGCTTGTTCCTCAGAAATGGCACTTGCCCCTTTGATCTGCCCACCCACCCATCCCTGCTAGTCACTCCAAGGCCAAGCAGGGAATTTTTTTTACTCATTCAGAAGGGGTGAGAGGGTTCTTTTCTTGCCTGCTTCACTTTGCCACTTTCCATACTTATATAAATAGGTGTGGTTTAAATTGGTTAAACCCTGCTGAGTTTGGCTAGAACACTATGGGCCTTTGCACAAGTTAGGAATATCTGGCAAGCACCCGGCAGCCATTTTATGATGGGAGAGGGTTTCCAAACCAAACCCTCATGGATTCACCAGTCTAAACCCTAGTGTTTGACATCATGGGGAGGGTAATGGAATAAGAGGTCCTCTCAGCATACCATTGTGTGCAGCAAGGAAGATTAATTTGGCTGGATCAATGCCACTATGTTGGTATGCCTTTGGAAGCCCAATAGAGAGGGTGCCTGCTAGAGTTTGGGCTATAATTAGGCCCACATCAGCTTTTTAATAAAGCAACCCCACTAGAACCCATTTGCTCATGTTGGCATCTTTATTTGCACAAATGTTTCAAAGAAAACCAAAGGGTAATAGGCATCTATTGCCCAATGACCTCTTGGCATAACCTGTCTGTATCCTACCATGCCTCTAAGCAAAGCCTGAAGCCTTCTTCAGACGTAAGTGGTTCTTTCTTCAATAGAAGTGCCATTTCAGTTGGGAGGAAGCTCCTTAGGCTGGAGGAATTCTCTCCAGCCTCAGGCAGAATACTGCCCAATGCGTTATTTTTAAGAATACTGGCCAACGTGTAATTTTATGAAAATATGTTGTCCCAACCCAGTTAGGGCACTACACATTGTGGAAAACTGGCTTCTACGTGTGTATCCCTGATTGGCTAGAGAATGGGAAACAGTAATACACCTAGTGACTGAGTGTGCTGTTTCCCTCTCTGATCCCACTTTTCTTGGTGTGCATATGGAACCCTTTTTTTAAAGAAGCTAAAATACTGAAAAATTAGCTCTAGCCCCCCCCTCCACTCTGCTTCATCTGTCAAACTCTTGGTAGGTCTAGTTTGAGATTTTAAATACTAGGTCTGCATGCACAGCCCAGGCTGTTCCATTCATGCTTATTAAATAGCACATATGAGTTCAAATAGAGGAAGAAGCTGGCCCTTTAAATCTACTTAAACTCTGGATGTGCATATCCGGAGACATAGATTCCCTAATGTAATATTGTAATGATCTTAATACCTGTGTTTTATTTTCTAATTTAAATTTTTCTGCCAATTTTTTTAATTTATTTTTTTGCCAAGATCTCCAATTTATTTCCTCGAGATGAACTGGATGAAATAACTCAAGCACTGATATCTGTAATGAAAAAAGAGTTACCACGAGTTCCACCAACTTTTGATAATCTTTATGAATATTTTATCTCACGATCAAAGAAGAATCTTCATGTTGTTCTCTGCTTTTCTCCAGTGAGTTTCTTTTATAAATATCCTTAGGCAGATTTTCTCATGGGAAAATGTTTTCATTCAAGGTTTATGAGGAATCATAAAAGGTACAAAATAGTATTCTAATGAAAAAAATACACTCCAGGGACAAGTAGTTAACATGGTTGATGCTTACTCTGGAGGTCCATCTTATGACAGCTTTTCTACTAGCAGTTTTTTAACAGTCCATTTGAATATGTGAGTTATGAAATGAGACATGCCTCCCAGTATCAGGCCTGCTGTGTTCAGTGAGATGCTTCTTTTAAAGAGTGTATAAGATTACAGCCCTGATCTTTTACCATATCACAAAACTCAGCAGAACTTTCCAGAATAATTGCCAGAAGTACCTATATGCAAGTGTAATTTATTTATGTATTTAAACCATTTATTAGCTGCCTTTCCCCTTGCAGAACTCAAGGTAGCTTACAATATAAATAAAAATATTATAAAAACACAATAAAAACAATATGAACTGTAATGTATCTAGACCTGACCGTGTGCAAGGCGAGTTCTCTATTCAGTCATGCAAAGCCTCTGAGCTTCGCTCTGGGAGACAATAGCCTGAGCGGATCCTAGCCCACACCAACCAGTGGACTAGGATCTTGGTCAGGACCTATGGCACTCTCGGCCACTGTATATAGCCTATCACAGAGTGGGGGGGTGTTCTGGGAGTGGGTTTACTGAGCATATAAGCCGGCCTGCGAGCTGGGGGTTTTCATCTTGTTCTGCACCTATAATAAAGTATGAGAGCTGAAATCACTTGCCAAACTCAGTACTTTTCACTGGCAATGAAGGTGGGATCCTTCTCCTCATGAACAACGACCACGAGCACATCGTGCCCTGATGCCAAGGAGAGCCTACGCTACGCTTCTTTGGTCATCGCACCCCACACCGCTCCTAGCACCGTGCTTCATCGCTTCCTCCAACTCGGAGTCCTGCAAAGCATCGTGCCCCGCTTCCCCGGCATCGGTCATCTATCAATCGTTCCAGCCACGTGGAGTTCCCGAGATGGCCGCAACACATGGTAACATCCCAGCTTTCGGTGTCACCCAGCCTGAGCAATGGGAGACCTGGCTAGAGACCCTCGAGAACCATCTCACGTACCATGATGTGACAGACGCCAACTAGAAGAAGGCCATGCTCCTCAGCTCTTGTGGCATCGATACCTTCTGGTTGCTGAAGGCCCTGATAGCACCCAAGCAGATGAAGGAGGAAACCTACGAGGTACTGGTGAAGGTGCTCACTGATTGCCTTTTTTGCACACGTTCGGGGCCTGGATGAATCGGCCTCTGACTTCCTGGTGGGGCTCCAAAGAGCTGCCACAAGGTATGCGTTCCCTAGCTTGGTGGACACGCTCTTGAAACAGTTCCTAGTGGGCCTCCGCAAGCACAAGCTACACCGGAAGCTGACCAGCCATGACGACCTGGATCTCAACAAGGCATTAAAAGAGGCTGCCGTTTATGAGAAGTCTCATCAGGGCTGCCTCACAAAAGCAGTCCATCGCACCGATGCTAACCCCGTTTCGGACTTCTCCAACGAGGAGGAGGTACTGCAGGTCTGCCGCCCGTCTCACCGCCCATCTCGTCTACCCGGAGCTGCTACAGGCAAACCGTTGCCTACTTCAGCATCCTGCACCAGCTGTGGGGAAGCCCACGAATGCCGGACCTGCCAGTTCAGGGATGCCGTTTGCAGGACTTGCAACAAATAAGGCCACATTGCCCGGGTTTGCCGTTCCCTTGGTCAACGACAGAGGACGTCTGTGTACCAGGAGTCCTCGGATCTTCACACGCTCACCTTCCATCACCAGCCACGCCAGGTATGTAACCTGCCCCCCAACAGCCCCAACAAATTGCATGTAACAGTGTTGATTGAGGGATCCCCCTGTAAAATGGAAGTGGACATGGGTTTGTCCTTTTCCATCATTTCCGCTGCCACACTGTGCATGCTATGCCCACGGGGGCACCCCTCCTAGAGAAGCCACACGGGTTGTCTTTGTGGGACTTTAACAAAAACCCTGTGGCAATCCGGGGCTGTGGCAGGTTCTGGGTGCAGTATAAGGACTTCAAGGGCCATCTAGATTTGCTGGTGGTGGAGGGCCAACTCACGAGCCTGTTGGGGCTTTCCTGGTTTGGACCGCTAGGGCTCACGGTCACAGGGGTAAACACAGAGACACAGGATGCAGCCAGGGGATTCTTCCTAGAAGATTCCGTGTACACCTGCAACTACACCTGCCCCCCCTGGATCCCGGCAAGGGTTGTGAGAGTGACAGGGCCTCAATCCTATGAAGTCTCAGCGGAGGATGGACAGCTGTTACGGCACCACATCGATCAGCTGTGCCAGCGAGTTCTCCCTCTCGACCCAGAGGACTTCGCGGACACAGACGCCCCGAGACAGCGGCCACCGCATAGCCACAGACAACCATGGGTCCCGCAGATGAGGCACCTAGCCTACCCTGTGCCATCCAGCCAGTGGACAGCGCATGCACCCCGAGCGAGGCACTGCTGACCTAGCCATCTTCACCGACGTGACCAGCCCTCAGCCAAGGGCCCCGGCCCCAGCCACTGGTTGTCACTTGGGTTAGGACTGCTTGATTTTAACTTCTACTGCTACTTTTGTCATTTTTATTTTATTCTTTTTTACTGTGCTTTATTGCAGCGTATTCTTAAGTCTGGTTTTAGTGATCAAAACGATTGTACAATGCCGTCCCTTATTAACCTTGTTGTACTCTGGAAGTTGTACCATCTGGCTATTGTAATTTACTTTTATGGTTTTTATATTGCTGGCTATGTGCTGTAACAATAAAATTCATTCATTCATTCATTCAGTACACTTTGTGGGAAAGGCTTTCTGAGCTTCTGGTTCACCTCCCAGAAGACAAGCATCAGGCACCCCGCATCATCCAAAAGGAGGGCATGGTGCTGGCAAAGCAACCTCCAAACATGCCTTAGACACTTCCTCAAGGACAATGGCTTTCAGCCATAGCTCTCTGAAGGCATTCATGGCTACACAACACCAATTTACAGTCAGATACTAGGTCATACGTAGAGGACCTCTCCTTTGATGGCCTTGGTCTGTTTAACAGTACTACAGACACCATACTACAAGACATGGATAAAAGTATTAAAACTTCTTGTGCTCTCGGTGTTTCCTCATCCACGAGACAACATTACTGACCTCGTCCCTGGTCCAAACCCTGGCAAAAACGCACCCCAAACCGTCAGTCTCCTGACCAACAATGGAGGCCACGTACATCCTCTGGAGGCCAGAAACCCACATTCCAGAAACCTAGATTTGGATCGGGACAACAGCCTACCCGCAGTAAGCAGGCAAAGTCTGCCAAGCAGGGTTTTTGACTTCCATATCTCCCAGTCACATCCAACCCGTCTAACCCCTTTCCTCCAATCCTGGCACCTCATCACCATGGACAAATGGGTGCTGTCCATCTTGACCCAGGGTTACCACATACAATTCATCCAGAACCCCATTGCTCCTGTCTTCATCTCCACACCCCCTTCTCCAGCTTTCCTGGAAGAAGTGTCCGTCCTTCTGCAGAAGGGCGCCATCGAGCCGGTGCCACTGCACCTACAGGGCAAGGGATTCTATTCCCATTATTTTACCGTTCCAAAGCGGGATGGAGGCATTCGACCAATCTTAGATCTAAGGGTGCTCAACTGCTTTGTGTGCTACCGTTTCCGCATGGTATCCTTGCAGCAGATCCTACCACTTCTCCGGAAGAACGTATGGATCTCCAAGACGCATATTTCCACCTTACCATCCACCTGTCCCACCACCAATACCTATGCTTTGCAATTGGCCAGCATCATTACCAATACACAGCTCTGGATCTCCAAGACGCATATTTCCACCTCACCATCCACCTGTCCCACTGCCAATACCTATGCTTTGCGATTGGCCAGCATCATTACCAATAGGCAGCTCTGCCATTCGGTCTCTCAAGTGCACCGAGAGTGTTCACAAAGACAATGGTAGTGGTCGCAGCCTTCTTTCATCTCAGGGGTATCTCCATTTACCCATACATCAATGATTGGCTACTGGTTGCAACTTCCCAAGACGGCCTAATCTCTGACATCAACGAGACACTGACCCTCCTGGAAAACCTGTGACTATAGGTAAATCTAGAGAAGTCTCAACTTCAACCAGTCCAGAAAATACACTACATCGGTGCACTACTGGACTCGATAAGTTGCAGAGCCTACTTACCACAGGCCAGGGCCGCGGATATTGTGAATCTAGCCACCGTGATGCGTACTCGACCCTTGGTAATGGCTTTCCAAATACAAAGACTCCTTGGCCTAATGGCCGCTACTACATCCATCCTCGTCTTTGCCAGGTTGAGAATGTGCCACCTACAACTTTGGTTTATACGCAATTTCAATCCAGAACGAGACCCACACTATACCCGTCTATCCCCACCTACCAAAGTACAGGACTCTCTACTTTCGTGGACTACTCCCCCCAACCTTTTCTGGGGAGCACCCTTCCACCCTCCATCACCGGAGATCACCCTTATGACAGATGCATCTCTCTCAGGTTGGGGCGCTCATCTGATAGGACTCTGTGTCGGTGGCAGATGGGACACACAGAAGCGGAACCGTCACATCAACTTTCTGGAGCTACTTGCGATACAGTTCGCTGTCACCAGTTTCCTGCCTCTGATCGGGGGGAAGTGTGTCACGATCCTTATGGACAATACTACTGCCCTCAACTACATAAACAGGCAGGGGGGCACTGTCTCTCAACGCCTCTGCAAGCTGGCCATTCAGTTGTGGGACTTCTGTATCACCTACAACATCTTCCTAATCGCCACGCACATACCGGGCCACATGAATGTGCAGGCAGACCAACTGAGTCGGGGAGGACTTTGATTGCACGAATGGGAAATGAATTCTACCTACCTCCTCCCACTCTTCCACAAGTGGGGGTTCCCTCAGATAGTCCACCAGGGTGAACAAAAAGTGTCCTCTATTCTGCAGCTGAGGAGGCAGGGACCCACTGTCTTTGGGGAACAGTCTCCTCTACCCCTGGTCCAGAGACTTTCTCATCCTCTTCCCCCCGCTGCCTCTGCTTCTGAGGGTGGTTTGTAAAATCATCAGCGACAGAGCGGATTGCATCCTCATATCCCCGTGGTGGCCGAGGTAGCCGTGGTTCTCAACCATACTGGATCTGTCAGCAGGGATCTACCACCAATTTCTGCTGGTTCAGGACCTCTTGCTCCTATCCGAGTCTCCTTTCCTATAGCATGACGTTCCACAACTGAAGTTGACAGCCTGGAGAGTGGTATCAACAGTTTTTCCTTCCTACTGAACTCCAGAAAGGCCACTATACGCAAATCTTACCATTATAAATGGCTAAAGTTGTGTTCCTTTTTGGGTGCTGATGTCCCTCGAGCTGCTTCCGTGGGTCTCGAGAAGGTTTTTGATTTCCTTCTGTCTCTCGCTGACTCGGGACTGTCACATTCCTCATTGAAAGTTTATTTGGCTGCACTTTCAGCCTACCATGTTCAAGTTGAGGGATGCACACTTTTTTCGCATCCTCTTTCTAAACGTTTTTTAAAGGGACTGTTACACCTTTATCCTCCTATCAAATGTCCTGTGGACCCTTGGGACCTTCCCCTGGTACTTTGCCAGCTCACTAGAAAACCTTTTGAGCTGCTTGCGACTTGCGACTTGAAATTGCTGTTGTGGAAAACAGCTTTTCTGGTGGCTGTTACTTAGGCGAGGCGAGTGTAGGAAATACTAGCTTTCAGACATAATTCTCCTTACCTATCATTTTTGCCAGATGGTGTCCGTCTTGTTCCTGACATCTCGTTCTTGCCAAAGGTAGTTTCAGAGTTTCGGCGGAGGTCTTCCTTCCAGATTTCTTCCCATCTCCGACATCCCCGGAGGAGAGGCTATTACACACGTTGGATACAAAGCGTGTGCTTCTGTTCTACCTACAGAGAACTTGTCCAATGAGACGTGATTGTCAGCTTTTTGTTTCCTATGCTCCAGCCAAGCTGGGAACTTGCATCACAGCTCAGCATTTGTCAAGGTGGATTGTAGGTCTTATTCGCCTCTGCTATCTTATTGCTAAGATGCCATTGCCTGGCCCTATCAGGGCTCATTCTACTCGAGCTGTTGCAGCCTCAACTACTTTCCTTCAGGGAGTTTCCCTACTAGACATTTGCAGAGCTGCTACCTGGGCTACGCCTAATACGTTCAGAAGGTACTACGCCCTTGATGTCCGCAAGAACTCTCGTACCAACATGGGACGTCACATCTTATCCTCGGCTTCGCAGTAATTACCTGCCAGCACCTTCCTCCAGGTAGGCCACTGCTTGCTATTCTCCCATGGGTGTGAAGCACAGAGACCACGTTGAAGATAAACAGGTTGCTTACCTGTAACTGGTGATCTTCAAGTGGTCATCTGTGCATTCACACCCTCCTTCCACGCTGCTGTCAGCTTCTATGTTTTTATTTACGTTGATTTGAAGTGGTCTGAAGGAACTGGTGGGATGTCCGTGCCCACCCCTCTGGGCATGCATGGTTGGGGTTCCTGCACATGCCTGAAGTCTGGGCGCGAAAATCCGTTAGAGCTTGCTACAATGCCAATCAATCCAGCGCAGGTGCACTGAATCCCATGGGTGTGAATGCACAGATGACCACTCGAAGATCACCAGTTACAGGTAAGCAACCTGTTTTTCCCTTCCATGCAAACAAATTATTGGTGTTATTGATAACAATCTGACAAGAGCTATGTACACGTATCACTGACTTTTTAACTTGCATGCAGTTGAATTTGGGCCTGTGTGAGAAAGCTTAGCAAAACTATTGTTCCTATAAATATGATGGATTACTTATATTCATTTCTTCCTGTTCCTGTTAGGTTGGTGAGAAATTTCGTGCACGCTCTTTGAAATTTCCTGGTCTTATATCAGGCTGTACCATGGATTGGTTCACTAGGTGGCCCAAGGAAGCCCTTGTTGCTGTATCCCATTATTTCCTGTCAGAGTTTAACATTGTCTGTTCTGCTGAAGTTAAAGCACAAGTAGTAGAAACTATGGGTATCTTTCATGACCTAGTTTCAGAAAGCTGTGAGAATTATTTCCAAAGGTAACAATTGAAAGATAAGTAGTAATGCTGTAGTTACTCAAGTGAAGGATGGAATTTGTTACTGGAATATATAAACATTGATATTTGTTTCCTGTTAAGCTATCAGCTGATATAGTTGATGGACAAATACTAAAGGGAATGTGTAGAGCCCTTATGTTAAAAATCCTACAGATACATTTTGTTTATGTTTTTATATGAAAACACTTTAGTGCATCCTATTTGCTATCCAATTACATTGACCTCTGTTCTGCTATTAATACATACCAGACAACTATATGAGTGAATGGGCTAGTATCATATAAGCTACCTTGGGCCCCTTTGATATTTGGGAAAGATATAAATGTTTTCAATAAATAATATAATTGATTTCAATAGGATGCCTGTTTATCATTATTTTAAAAATTATTTGTCAGATATCCATTTTTATAACTGTATCACATTAAAATCTATTTACATTAAATTTGAGAGTGAACCTTGAGGCCTCTGCCATTTACTAGGCAATTGTACAAGTAAAGTTGCATGTGGGTGCACCTGTTTTTAGGACTGCATGTTTATTATAATAATACCATGTTTACATGATGTATTTATTTAAATTTCCACCATTACTGTACATTACAGATACCGACGAAGAGCTCATGTCACACCCAAGTCATATCTCTCTTTCATTAATGGCTACAAGGAAGTTTATGCTGAAAAGTTATCCAGCATTAATGAGCAAGCTGAGCGTATGCACATTGGTAAGATCAACAGGAGTGTGATGGGCCACTGGAGGACACCCGCCTGGCAGGCAGCAATGAAGATGGAGGGGTGGGGTCTGAGAAGTCCTAGGAGGTTCTTCAGCAGCTAGGCTAAAGAAGCATGGCAGAGCCTGTTTCCACCTATGCTGCAGACATACTAGCAATTGGCTGGCTGGCAGGAGTGGACTATATTCTAAATATGAGCAGTTAGTTTCATGTAGTGCCAAGAAGGCTAATGTGGTCTTGGGGTGTATCAACAGAGGCATAACATCCAAAGTGTAAGATGTCATAGTCTCTCTATACACTGCATTGTTCAGGCTGCACCTGGACTACTGTGTGAAGTTGGTGGGGTGGGGAGGCAGAAAGAGAGTGGTGGGGTGGGGAGGTAGAAAGAGAAAGAAAGAAAGAAAATGATGGGATAGGGTGCAGAAAAAGAGAGTGATGGTGGGGCAGAAAGACAGAGTGTTTGAGCAGGGGACAGAAAGAAAGAGAAAGTGATAGAGTTGGGGAGGCAAAAAGAGTGATAGGGTGGGGCAGAAAGTGATAGGGTGGGGAGGGAGAAAGAGTGATGGGGTGAGGAGGCAGAAAGAAAGAGTGATGGGTAGGGGACAGAAAGAAAAAGTGATGGGGTGTGGAGGCAGAAAGAGAGAAAGAGTGATGACATAGAGGGCAGAGTGATAGGTACAAAGAGAGAGAGACAAGCATGGGGGAGAGAGTAAGAGAAGGGGTGGCAGGATGGAGAAAGAGTAAGAGGCAGACAAGAAGGGGGAGAGGAGAGGAAACATAGATGGAGGATTGGGATGGCTGCTCCCGCAAAGTTTCCTGTGGGTCCCCACTTGTATATTCTAACAGCCAAGTCAGCCAGATCTGAGAATTCTTAAAGCTGGTGACTGGAGCCATGAATGGACAAGATAGATCTTTCTACAAACCTTAAAAATGCCCCAGATTTTCCAAAATATCGGAAATATTAAAAAAGAAGAAGAAATGGTGCGCTAACCTCCCCAAAATTATTAAAGGTGCCTGTAGCTTTAAGAAATGGAGGCCCTCAGGCAGGGTGCCAAAATATCTGAAATCTAAAAGAAAAAGAAAAAGAAATGGTGTGCTACCCCCCAAAAAATTATTAAATGTTGCCTGTAACTTTAAGAAATGGAGGCCCTCAGGCAGGGGAGGGGGCAGGGCCCTTTTTAAGGGCTGCTTTGGCCTTTGAGGGAGGACTCGTGGGTCAGGCCTGGCAGCAACTACCAGACTACCTGACCGTGCAGGGCTCTTTTTGTAGCAGGAACTCTTTTGTATATTAGGCAACATACCCCTAATGTAGCCAATCCTCCAAGGGCTTACAGAGCTCTTCTTACAGGGGCTACTGTAAGCTCTTGGAGCATTGGCTACATTAGGGGTGTGTCACCTAATATGCAAAGTAGTTCTTGCTACAAAAAGAGCCCTGCACATGACTCACCTTAGCCTGGCTGCTTGTTACTGTTCAACAGTTGGTGAATGGCTGAGAAGGATAGAATGATGGGGCAGGATATGGGGCTGCCAGGAAGAGGGAAAGGGAAAATAATGTGGGGAAGGGTGTGTCCCAATCCAGCCAATGTACCCAGTGTGATGATGTCACCCGGAGGTGACATCAACGTCACCCGGGGGGGAACGCTCTAGCATTCGGCCTGAAAACTCTATGGTGTCATAAAGTTTTTAAGCTGAATGCTAGAGCATCCACCAGCGGCATGCCTAGCGTGATGACGTCACTTCTGGGTGATGTCATCATGGCGCTCATGTGAATGTCCCAGACCAGGACCAACTCCCCCTGCCAAAAAAGGTAAGGGACCTGGCAACCTTAGAAACTGATGTCTTCCCTACAAGTCCTTGAGGACTTTTTATACCTATAATATGGGGTTGCTTCTTATGAAGCATAAGTGGAAAAAGCCCATGAATCCTTTCAATGAGTCCTTGTGTAAGTCAGCACCACGCAACTTGGCCATTGTTCCCCTAGGTAGAGATGGGGGTGGGTGGGTGAAGACAGGGGGTAGATAAAGATAGGATGCCTGTTCGATGGGAGGGAGAGAAGGAAGCAGGGAAAGGGGAGAGGATGTGGGGGCTGCCAATGAAGGGAAGGAAGATATAGCCAGGGAGGGCGAGTGAGATGCCCCCCCAAAGTCCTTGCAAGTTCCCACTTGTCATTATACAGTATACACCCCTCAACCCTTTGGCTTTTGATCACTGTGTACAGGTCTTTCTAAGCTGATGGAAGCAAGTGAATCTGTTGCTAAACTCTCTCAGGAACTGGCAGTGAAAGAGAAGGAACTGGCTTTGGCTTCTGTAAAAGCTGACAAAGTGAGTACCAAGGCACATTGCCATGGAAAATGACTGATACCTTGTTTTGAGGTTGCATTTCCGCTATAGGGATATTGCAGTATCCCAAGAAAAGGTATTTAATGTTTTGATGTAAAATTATAAAATTAGATTCTTCCTCCCAGATGCCACATTTTATTGCTATTGCCATTATCTTCTGGCATGTGCCATAGAGCACAGTGAATTTTTCCTGCAACATGAATAAAGAAATCTGGGCCTGCAAGAGATCTCCTATTGCCAGCCAACCCGCCCTGCTGCCAGTCCCTCTATCTCTGCAAGAATATGTCTTCTCAGGAAAGAGTCAAACAACACAAATATATATTGCAAAATGTGTTCTATTTGTTCCATCTTATAAAGTGCATTGTGTGTTATTTATAATATTCTAAAACAGGTATATTCATTACATGCAATATCAACAATAATAATCAAGCTTCTCCTTGCTTGAAATTCTTCTGAAGGGGAAAGTTTTCTTTTGTGGTTACATTGATGTTTAAATAGATGTGCTCCGTCTATGAACTTCAGCTGTTTAATGGGCCTGTTGTAGGACCTTTCAAGCAATTCTAGAAACTCCCATTGGGGTTGATTGTGTAAAAAGGATGTAAATTGACTGGTAGTTATTAGAACTGTATAAACTGATTATTATAAGATGGAACAAATAGAACACATTAACTTATAAAAGGTTTTTGCAGTTTTTATTTGTGTTGTTTGACTCTTGTAACACTTCAGCTCGAGTTTCTACAGCTGCTTTTCTCAGGAAAGAGGACAAAACAACCGGGAGGGCTGACGGGGGGCAGGGAGTCCATTACATGCTGGTTCTGAATTCTTTTTTTTAAAAAAAAATTATTTAATTTTTAGACACACACGTAAACAAAAAGACAAAACAAACATAAGCAATGTTTCCTGTATACAGCGATACAACTAGTTCTAGACAATATTGCAACTGAGCATGCTTTTTTTTATAAAGACCTTCTTTTAAGATTTAACTAAATATATATTTTTGATAAGGTTCTCACAACATCTCCAATGGTCATTAACCACTAAATATCCTTTTTCATTACTCTGAAGAATTCCTATCTATATATTTTCAACATCCTTTGTCAATTTCTTATTGCAACTACTATTATATACTTGTTTTCCCAAATAAATATCCGCCAGTGGCATGAATGTAGTACAACTTATAAACAGCTTAGCTTCCCACCTAATTACTCACCCC